TGTGTTGCTATTTAAAGGATCAGTAACTGATTGGCTCTGACCTGTCAGATGATCCCCCACAAGCTGGATGACCGTCTGTCGATGCATCAGCTCCCAGAGTCCATCAGTAGCGAGGACCAGGAACTTGTCTGCAGGTCCAACACAGTGTCGGGTGATTTCTGGCTCAGTGCTCAGATAGGGTGGGGTCAGGTAGTGCGGCGGCATCGTCCGGACCGCCTCACTGACCGCAGACAGGACGTCCGGTCGAGTTTCATAGACCCGACTCAGCATATCCGCGCTCCATTTGAAGCGGACGTCACCGAACGCCCGGAAGGGCAGCAACAGGCCCAGTAGGCGGTCGTGGCGGATCACCGTCCTCTGCTCCGCTGGGTGCTCTCCCAGAATCCTTTGCAGCTCTTCGGGATTCTGCGCATTGTGGTCATTGGTGAGGTTGATCGCAGACCAGCTTCCGTCTGCCTCCTGGACGCCCAGGACTGCCCGACTGTCCCCCAGGTTGGCCACGTGTAGAACGCCGTTGGAGATGTGGACGACACAGGCTGTGCAACCAGAGAGCGCCACCCGGAGGGGGGAGGTCAGAAACAACCCCTCACCAGGGAAAGACACCTGCCTGTGGGCACAAAGAGAGGCTTAACCTGCTGAAACAGACTCACCTGCAGGTTCTGCTGAAGAAAACACAACTTTGTTCTTACCTGGGGGAGGTCAGGGACAGATGCACCTGGGCTTCTACAGACAGGTCGTAGTCAAGGCGATGGAACGCATTGACCAGAGCTGATGTCGTTCTGTTGTCATCCTGCAGCCAATCAGAGAGAACAGATAATGATGTCACCACAGGTGAACTTTCTGCTGAAACCAAAACAGGAAAATCGGTTTCTGAAAAGTCCACCTGCACCAGGTTGAGACCAGGTAAAGGCTTTGACATTCAGGCATGTTTTGGGGGGTTTTTTGGACCTGCACTGTCTGTGAATGTGATTCTGTGATGTGTCAGGACACCTGGTTACCTCCTCCTCATCCTCCTCCTCGGTCTCCAGCCTCTCCTGCCAGTAGTTCCGGAGGCTATGGAAGGACGTCACTCCTCCATTGGGGTAGCTCAGGTCTTGGGGGTATTTATGCCATTCCAGCAGTGGTGTTACGGCCCGTTCCTCCTCCACCGCCCGTTCCAGCTCCGCCAGTGTCCTCAGCGGCAGCGCTGCCACGGCAATGTAGTAAAAGAGCCTCTGACTGACAGCGTGGGCGCAGGCCGGCCCTGTGTGACCGTCGAACACGCCGAACAACACGCCTCCACGGCCCGCTAGGCAGGTGGCGCTGCTCTGACGGTCCTCGCAGGGGAGGTTG